CTGTTCATAGCCTGTGCGTAGCTTGTAGTTATAGCATATTCATAACATACCTTCATACCCTGTACACTGTAACATAGATCCATATTCTGTAATATATCTGTATTATTGCTGAAGCACTTTCTGGATGGATGCAAACTGCATTTGGTTGCCTTGTACTTGGACATGTGCAATGACAATAAAGTTGAATTGTATTCTGTTCTATTCAGACTTCGACTCCACGTTAACCTGTGCCAGTGTTTCAGGTTAAGGGTGTCTGTGTCTGTCTGCCAGAGTGTCAGGCGGTTTCACAAGACTGAAGACCTCAGCAAACAATGTCTCCATCTGCAGCTCGCACAAATGCATGCACGTATCGACATTATCCTCACGAAACCTCAGCTCGACGGACTCTCCGGTTTACCTGCATACATCCTGTTTACCTGTGAGCTGTTACTGATTCCGGAAACATGCACACCCTCCTCAGCTGCTGGAGCTTGTGTTTCTCCACAGAGTGACGGACCAGGAGAGACGATGGACACTGAGATAACTACAGAGCTCTTTAAAAGCCAGCAGGTGGGGTCATGGTCTTTGCTTCATGTTTAATAACTTGTCAGTTTAGAAGTGATAAAGTCTAAAAATTGGACGTAGCTTCCTGATCTTAAGAGTGAAGCCAACATGGAAGCGTGTTCCTTCTAAAATCCAGCAGGTGGCAAACCTGTTGACTGTGAAACAGAGGTCCGTGTGAAAACCGACCATCACTGACCCCTCCCTGTGATCAGTCAGCTGGTATTTTAGCTGACAAACTGATGCTGTGGGTTCCCTGTGAGCTTCTGGATGGATCGCTAACAGTGCCGGCACAGTTATGATGTTCCTTTGGGAAATTTGTGTCTTTGCTAGGAAAGTCTGAATAAATAAAGTTGGATGTGATCTTTGTGTTCGAGTTTGCTCTCAGATCTGATTAATTCAGCTTCTTTGAGAGGCTGTCCACACTCTGACACGAGGACCCTTCCCTCGGAGGAAGCAGTTTCTCTGTAAGAAGACTTCCCTGCAGAATGTTTGAATACCTGCTGCTCGCTCTCTGCATCACATCCTGCCAAAGCATCAAGAGGAAGCTTTTCATAATAAGAGGAAATATTGGATAAGGCATGACAGCTCTGAACCAATCAGTTTGCAGCAAACCAGCAGTTTAATAACACATCCCAAATCTGTACAGGAACATGAGCACACGGAGGTTTCAGCAACACAAACCAGTGAGGCCAGTCTGTCCTCACCAGCAGCTTTACTGGAACACTGTGGCTACTGGGAAACACTCCCATAAATACACACGTGTGTGTTACTGCAGATATGTTTACAAGTGTTTTTATATGAATAACACGTCTATAAAAATGTTCATACAGCTTCCAAACTAATACAAAGTGATAACTGATGGAAGTACTGCAGTACTATGAACTCCAGCTGGATCATCACATGACTTTTATTATGAAGTCCTCACAGGAAATGCAGCATTAGCGCTGACAGAGCGACAGGAAGAACACGTTACACTGTCCCAGCAGGAGGCGCCAAACCAATGCATGACTTCCAGACAGCCAATTTAAGACTGAGGCAGGCGCCTCATTGGTCACTTTACACACAGACGTGTAGAACTGACCAATGAGGCGCCTGCGTTTAGATGTGACCAACTGTGTTCACAGTTTGATTTGTTCCACATGTTGCAGCTCGTTTACTTCAATTTAATCTTCACAGCGCTGCGTTTCTATGATGTCATCGTTTGTGTAATCTGATGTGTAATCCCAGAGTCGTCACTGAAGCCGGCTCTCTGTCACTTATTCTCTTCTAACTTTATTTAAACACATACGCAGGAACAGCGCTGCAGGTTACCTGTTACTGAGTCCCGTGACACCTTCCTCCTTTACCTGTGTGAGCTTCATCGAGTATTTGAACTGACAGTTTAGAGAAGGTTACTGCTTTGAGATATCAGATTAGACTTGTTGGAAACATTAAAATATCATAAAAACATTTTTCACCGTTTGTGAGTCATTCACAATTAAACACGTGTGATCAAACTTCCTGTTACATAAAGAGAACGACTCAGCTCTCAGTCTGTTAAGTACAAACTGATACGGCGCCCTCTCCTGGTTGCAGAGGACGCTTCACACAGGCTGAAAAAGTCAGAGAGCCGCTGATGTTAGCACAGCCCCGAACTGAGCTCCAATCACCTACAGGCGGCCGCATCACATGGCCCTCCTCAGCTGCAGCTTTTACAGTAAAGTCTGCCTGACGGGTCCTGTATGAGGTCATGTGATCGTTATCTCTGTAACCTGAATGGCCACCTTGGGTCGACTGCTGGCGTGCTGTGAATGGAGGGAGATCATGTGACCCCACCGTTTTGTCCTCAGACATCGTAGGGCCTCTCCTCTTCCTCCCGCTCCTCCTCCGTGGTATTCTTGATGAAGGCGGTGGACAGCTCTTGCAGGAGCAGTTCCTGCGATGGCGTGCAGACTCCCATCAGCGTCTGCCTGCTTCTCACTGCAGGCTGGCTGGCGGCATCTGAATCTGGAGAGCCTGCATCTCCATCGCCTCCGCCGGCTCCTCCGCTACTGCTGCTGCTCTGCTCCAGAGTCTCCACGGAGCCTCTCGCCATCCGGACTACTTCCGGGATGATCATGTGATCCAAATCTCTGGACTCCACGGGAACCAACCTGAGTGGGGGGTGGTCTGGCACTTCCTGGGTCTCTGCGATGCTGCTGGACAGGAAGCTGGTCTCCAGAGACTTCAGGACCTGCAGGCCGAAGTCGCCGACCTCCTCGTAGAGCGGCTCAGGCAGGTCAGGAGACTCCGAGCGTTCCTCGAACGAGTCCTGCTGGACCTTCATGGGCTGGAGACACACACGAGACCCAAGGTTAAACCCCGCCCCCCCAGCGTTTACTACAGGCTCACGAGTGAGACGAGAGGAAGTACAGAGTACTTACAAAGTACATGGAGAGAGTTCTCCGGTCGTGTAGTTTCCTCTGCAGGGGGAAGACAAAGTACAGATGACGAGTTTTGCATTTGACCTGTGACAGTTTACTGAGCATGTCTGAGAAACAGCTGAGAGAGTTGGACTCTAACCAGTGTCTGATTGGCCGACAGCATGCTGCTGTTGCTCTCGTCTCCTCTGATGGGGACGAGCGGCATCGTTCCAAACTTCTGCTTGGAGATGTCAGAGGAGGAGTGGCGGCGCAGCACTGGAGGACCCGGGTCATCGTTCTGCAACAGAAGCACATCCATGATGGCCAGCACAGGAGCGACGGCTGATCCCAGACCAGTGTGCAGGTAAACGTACCTGAGCTCTGAGAAGGCTCGTGATCCAATCCCACAGCTCGGCCTCGCTGCTGCAGCACAGGTACCTGGTGGAGGGGAGGGGCAAATACTTTTGACTTCATGCAAAACTCAAACCCTCAGAGCTTTTATTTTAATGCACGACGTCCACGTATGACTGAGTCAAACATCAGCTGCTGCAGGTGAATGTGACGCTGAGGAGGACAGGTGAGCCCTGATACTTACAGCTGGTGTTTGTCTGACATCACTGTGAAGCCCCACCTGCACAGGAAACACACAAGCCATCAGCCTCTGACGCTCACTGCTCAGTTCAGACCGCAGGAGTGTGTGTGTGTGTGTGCATGTGTGAGTGTGTGTGTG